CATTTTTCCAATTTGCAATACAATCCATGTTGTAAAAGTTTCTGTAATACCTTTCTGACTTGTCTATGATGTGAATTAACGTCTCTAGAATGGATTAGTATATCATCCAAATATACAATTACACATTCATGTTGGAATTCTCTAAGAACTTCATTGATCGAGTCTTGGAAGACGGCCGGGGCGTTACAAAGCCCAAACGGCATTACGGTATACTCATAATGCCCGTAACGGGTATTAAATGCTGTCATCCATTCATCTCCTTGTTTAATTCGCACTAAGTTATATGCTCCTCTTAAGTCAAGTTTAGTAAAAATACTCGAGCCCTTTAGTCTGTCAAAGAGTTCAGTAATCAAAGGAATAGGGTAAGCATTTCTGATAGTAATTTTGTTCAATCCCCGATAGTCTATACAAGGACGTAAGGTACCGTCTTTCTTTTCTACAAAAAAGAAACCCGCCCCCGCCGGAGAAGAAGACTTTCTAATAAATCCTTTGTCTAAATTCTCCTTGATATATTCCTCTAAAACTAAGTTTTCCTTGGTGGATAGAGGGTATACCGTACCCCTGGGAGGCATAGTACCAGGGAAAAGTTTAATAGAACAGTCATAAGACCGGTGGGGAGGTAAAGTATCCGCCTTACCCTTGTCAAATACAGATTTGAGGTCTAGATATTGTAATGGTATCTAAACGTCTGTGGATTGAGAAATGTTAACATAAGAGTTTACGGGGCAAACAGAAGTAACTCTCTGCAGAATTCTTTCCTACAACCCATACCCCAAGAAACGATTTCTCCACCCTCCCAGTCAATCTGAGGGTTGTGTCTCTTGAGCCAAGAATATCCTAGTACCACTGGGACTGCCGGGGAGGAAATTAACAGAAGGGAAATCAACTCCTCGTGGAAAATACCAACAGTAAGCTTAACGGGTTCGGTCTCATGGAATATTACTGGTTCAGATAAAGGTCTACCATCTATGGCCTCAACGGCCAAGGGTGTATCTCTCAATTGGAATGGGATACAATGCTTATTAGCGAAAGTTTGGTCTATAAAGCTTTCTGCTGCTCCAGAATCTAATAATGCCATCGTAGCAATAAACCCCTTTTCCCAAGCTAGAGAGACAGGAATCAGAAGCCTATGGTCTTTTTATTATGCATAGAGGACAGTAATGAAACACCCAAGGCCCGTCCTCTAAGGGAACTTAGGTGCGAGCGTTTCCCGGACGATTAGGGCAACTAAGACGTAGGTGACCTCTCAGCCCGCAGTATAAACAGAGACCCTCCCTTCTCCTGTACTGTCTCTCAGCCTCAGATAAGCGAGTATTACCTATTTGCATAGGTTCTGGTGGAGTAGGATTATAGGAGTCAGGGTTCTGAAATGAGGGAGCGAGTCTTACAGGAAGTCTAGTAACTCTTTCCCGAGTGTTCTGCCTCTGTCTCATGCGTTCATCTATTCTGGAAATGAAGGATACTAAATCCTCTAAATTTTCTGGAAGTTCTCTTGTGGCAATTTCATCTAGAATTTCATCAGACAACCCATTCAAGAAAACATCCATAAAAGCTTGTTCGTTCCATTTCACTTCTGCTGCCAATGATCTAAACTCTAGAGCATATTCTACAAGGGTCCTATCTTGTTGTTTAAGGCGTAACAGGGATCTGGCCGCATTAATCTTCCTCCCTGGGGGGTCAAAGGTTCTTCTAAAAGCCGTGACAAACGCAGTGTAGTTGTAGACTAAAGGATTGTCATTCTCCCAAAGGGATTGGCCCATCTAAGTGCTTTATCTATTAGCAGGGTTATAATAAAGCCTACCTTAGCCCTGTCAGTGGGGTAAGCCCGGGGTTGTAGTTCGAAATGTATACTTATCTGGTTTAAAAAACCACGACAAGCATCAGGCGAACCCCCATATCGTAATGGTGACGTGACATGGGAAGATGTGCCTACAGTGGCTACTTCCAAACCAGTACTTAGCGAGTGGCTAGCAGTGGAACGTATTTCTTCAGACTGGGTACTGGAGCGTGTTAACAAAGTTTGTAGCGCTAAAGCCATTTGGTCCATTCTATGGTCCATGGCCTCAAATCTGGGGTCAGGAGGACTAGCACCTGCAGGATCCATCTGGCCCTGTCGTAATGTCAGGATACTGACAGGGATCCAATACGCAGAGTGCGGACAGAAGGAGGTACGTATACCGGACCTTAGAATGGCCGGACTAACGTAGGGACAAAGCAAGAATAGTCAAAAGGTAAGCCGAGGTCGAGGGAGCCGGAGGACAGGTAAGCGAGATACAAGCCGAGTCAAAGGAGAGGAGAGGACAACAGGACAAAAGACAAGCAAGGGTCAAAACCGGAAACACAAGATAAAGAACGCGCTGAGTGACTAGCAAGCTAGAACCACGACAGGGCAATGAGCAGTAGTAAAGGTTTCCTTTAAATACCCTGTTACCTAAATAGAGACCACGCCCCCAAAAGGTCCGGAATAGCGGTTCCCAGCACTTTATGCAAATGCCGACGTCATGACGTCGACGCTAGCCGTCGCGTCATAAAAGGGGGAAGAGCTAGCGCGGCCGGCGCGAAAACGGCCGGAATATGCCGAAATGCTAGGGGCAGGGAGGCCCTAAGCAGAGAGGATGTCCTCCCTGGATACATCACCAACAGGTACCCTGACATTACCAAGGTGGGCACTTCATATAACCACATGTTAAGATGAAATTAAATATTTTTGACATAGCATTATTTTTAATCATTCCCCAATTATTTTACTTCCTCAATTTATGTGTGGCGGACCGGCGTCACTAAGTACCATGCCCACTGCACAGTTGCTTGGGTGGGGGTTGTGCCTGACTCAAAGGGCAGGGGAAGTACACTTGTTTGGGTGGGGGTTGTCGCGAGCTCAGAAAGCCGGGGTTGCCGGGGTTTGGGTGAAAGCCGGGGTTTGGGTGAGGATTCCAGGATTCCCCAGAGGCCAGCCATGACCATAGGAGGTCCTGAGAAGTAGAGCCGCGATGGACTCAGCCGACCACTCACCTGATCCTCAGCCAGCTGTGAAAACCACAGAGATTCTGGTGATGAAGAGGCTCGAGGGGGCACAATTGCTTGAGTGGGGGTAATTACAGGCTCAAAGGGTCGGGGTATCACACTTGCTTGGGTGGGTGGTTTTACGGGCTCACATTTGCCGAAGCCTGGGATGGATGGCATCTCGGGCTAAAAGCGCTTTATGTGTAAATTACCCTGTACCCAGGAGGGTGCAGGGTGCCATGCTGGCCCGACCCCAGGACTGTAGGGGCTGGCCAGAGACAAGTACTGTTGGGGGAATGGCGCTAATGGACTATACATCCCGTCCTGGCAGCAGCAAGCTGACCTGTGTGAGTCATGCTGCAGCTGGCGGAGATGGACAAGAGGGAGATGTGTGGTGGACTGCCGTCACTAAGTACCATGCCCACTGCTCATTCATGTGTTTCATGAAGAGTGCAGAGATTAGCATTCTCTTACCATCCCACTGCAATACACATGGCTGGCTGCCTGCCACCTCTTGAGCGCCTCCTGAAATGAGGCTAACAGCGCATCTGCTGGTGATTGGGGGCAGTGTTGTTTGCTTAACCCCTGGAAAGTGCCACCCAAAACAATGCATTATTAGCCTCACAGAAAATACAGTGCTGCTCACAGCAGTAATGCTGGCAAAGCAACAGGGGAGAGGTAGTCCAAAACATTTGGAGTGTTGAAGGTTGCCTATTCCTGCTGTGGACTATGACAAAAATATTGTCTTTTTATTTGTATTTCCTGCACTCGATTGACTCAAACTTTCTTTTGTTAATAGCTTTGTGAAATATGAGAAATGCGATCTTAAACTACTTTAATGTAATAGAAAAGCAGAAGTAAGAGGTTTTATTATTATTTCTTTCTTTATATATTTTGTAAACATATATTTATCTCTTGTTCACTTCCCAGACTTAGGCCTACATCTAGCAAGCTTTAAGCTGTGCAATTGGTAGTTACCATGACAACATGGTCTGGCAAATGGCCTGCAATAAAATGTGTATAATCAAAGTGTATGAGTGTCTATAGATGCCAGGGAAATAAATATTTAAAAAAAGAATATTTGTTAAGGTTAATTCTGTGTAAATACAAAATTAAGAATTACTGAATAGATATATCCTATCAGTACATCATATATGTATGTATGGTCAGAATGTCAGACAAGGGAGAGATTAAGTAAGCAAAATCAGAGATTTATATACAATTAACCTCTTCATACAATTCAGAGCTTTAATGCCTGAAAACAACATGGAACTTTATGCATTTAATATACCAGCAAGGCTAAATTCCTTGCTGGTACTGACAATACCCAAGTATCACATTATTAATTATTATTATTATTTTATTATTTATATGGTGCCACCAAAATTCTGTATTGCTGTACAATGGGTGGACTAACAGACACATAATTGTAGCAAGACAAATGGACGCAAAGGAACAGAGGGTACGAGGGACCTGCTCAATGAGCTTACATGTTAGAGGAAGTGGGTTTAGTGACACAAGGGGTATAAGTAGGGGTTATAAAATATGTTGCTAGAAAAGCATTCACTGGGAACTTAATAGGTTATTTTTGACAGTTGCAGGAGAGGAGTCATGGAGGGGGCGAATGATAATCCGCTAACAGTTTAAATGATATGCAATCCAGAAGAAGTGTGTTTTCAAAGATTTTTTTAAGTAGTGGAGACTGGGTGAAAGTCTAATGGAGAATGGAAGCAAGTTCCACAGAAAAGGTGCAGCCCTGGAGAAGTCATGGAGGCTAGCATCAGATTTGGGAGTACGGACAGAAGATAGACGTAGGTCTTCAGCAGAGCGCAGGGGCCTCGACGTGACATACTTGTGTATTAGGGAGGATAGATAGGTTGGAGCAGCATTATGTAGGGACTTGTAAGCAAGCACCAGAATCTTAAATTGAGCCCTATATCTAACTGGAAGCCAATGTAGAGACTGACAGTGGGGGGGAGGTGTGCGAGGTGGGGGCGGACAGGAAAATGAGCCTTGCCGCTGCGTTCATAATAGATTACAGAGGTGCAATCTGGGAACACGTAAGACCAGTGAGAAGGGGATTGCAGTAGTCAAGATGAGAAAGAACAATGGCATGGACCAGCACCTTAGCTGCGTCTGGTGTTAAAAAGGGTGGATGCGAGCTATGGTTTTGAGATGGAAGCGGTAGGATTTGGCGATTGACTGAACATAAGGGGTGAAGGAGACGTCGGAGTCAAAGAGAACTCCTAGGCAGCGAGTCTGCGAGGTAGAGGTTATGGTTGCACCGTTGACTTGGAGGGAAACAGACAGGGGAGTTGCAACACTTGAGGGAGGAAAGAACAGAAGTTCTGTTTTGGACAGGTTGAGTTTAAGCAAGTGAGCAGCCCTCCAATTAGAAATCGCGGAGAGGAAGTCAGAGACAAGAGTCAAGATGGGCAGAGAGAGATCAAGAGAGGATAGGTAGATTTGCGTATCATCTGCATATAAATGATAATGGAAGCCAAAGGAGCTGATGAGTTTACCAAGGGAGGCAGTATAGATGGAGAACAGTAGGGGACCAAGGACTGAACCTTGGGGGACACCAACAGAGAGGGGTTGGGGAGAAGAGGCAGAGCCAGAGAAAGAAACACTGAAAAAGTGCTGGTAGAGGTAGGAGGAGTACCAGGAGAGAGTAGTATCTCATAGACCGAGATTATGGAGAATGAGAAGAAACTGTTGATGATCAACAGCATCAAAGGCAGCAGAAAGATCAAGGAGAATTAGGATAGAGTAATGGCCGTGAGATTTAGCAGCGATTAAATTGTTGGATACTTTGGTTACAGTTGTTTCAACAGAGTGACGAGCGCGGAATCCAGACTGAAGCGGGTCAAGCAGAGAGTTGGATTCAAGGAAGTCTGTCAATCTCGCATACACAACTTTCTCAAGGATCTTGGAGGCAAACGGCAGTAGCGATATAGGGCAGTAGTTGGATGGAGAGTTGGGGTCAAGGTTGGGCTTTTTCAGAATTGGCATTATGGTTGCATGCTTGAAAGGTGAAGGAAATGTGCCTGAAGACAGGGAGATATTGAAATCTTTAGTTAGAGGGAGCAAGAGAGGGAGACAGAGTGTGGATGAGATATGAGGGAATAGGATCGAGGGAACAGGTGGTGGGGCGGGAGGACCAAAGCAGAGAGGAATCCTCTTCTGTTGTAGTAGGTGCGAATGAGCATAGAACAGTGGAGGGAGTGGGGTTGGGTGATGCATTGGAAGATGTTTTGGAAGGGAAGGGAGAGAGATTAGGGATCTCTTCCTTGATTGTAAAAATATTCTCAGTGAAGTGAGTTACAAAGTTTGAGACGGAGAGGGTGGTAGGAGGAGGGGGAGCAATACGGCGAAGGAGAGCATTAAAAGTGTGAAATAGGCATTTGGGTTGGTGGGTCAGTGTGCTCATGAGGGTGTTGAAGTAATTTACTTTTGCCGAGGAAAGAGCCAGAGTGTAGAAGTGCACCATAAATTTATAGTGGATGAAGTAATGTGCAGAGTGAGACTTTCTCCAACAGCGTTCAGCAGTTCTGGAACATTTTTGGAGATATCGGGTCAGCTTGGTGTGCCAGTGTTGTAATTGGGAACGCTTGCTGCGTTTAAATATTGGATGTGTCATGATGTCTAGTTAATAGGCGAGAGTGCAGTTGTAGAATGAGGTTGCAGTGTTAGGGCAAGTGAGATTTGAGATAAGAGAGTTTGGAGTTTGAAGGAGAAATGCTGGAGATCAAGGCTGTGGAGGTTTCTGCGAGATTGGAGACTTGAGGGTGGTCAAATAAGACATTTGGGTGAGTATCGAAATATGGGGGAGGGGATGCAGAAATAACAGATAAAGTCTTTAGATATAAGCAGATAGGTGAATAACATTTAAGTTAACAAGCCAACAATGTTGAGTGGGAACAACTAACTCTAGCATGTAGGGAAAGACAAAGTTAAATACAAGTACACATACACACCCACAACTGTAGGTAGATATATATATATATATATATATATATATATATATATATATGGTATGAGGTTGAAGAAGGCTACCGGTTGAATATGGCAGTAGAACAGGTGATAGAGCACTGTTTTTCTTGCAAGTCCTGGATAAATTTTAAATCAGGCTCAGAGAGAGAGAGAGATGTTAGGGTCAGATACTAAGGAAATTAAGGAATGGGGAGATGCATGTGTGGACTATTGAGGTAAGGGTCATTCAAGCAAAAACAAAATGGAAAGATCAAAAATCACAGAGATAAGACAGAGGTATCCATGTAGGGAAATAAAACCACTAAACAAATAACAAGAAATTTATATGGGCCTGGGCTGGTTAAACTAACTTTTAACATAATGGAAAAGACATAAAGGTGATAAAATATGCAGAGATAGGCAAATTATGCCTAGCACATGCTTACAAAGTCATGGAAATATATACTTTTTTAATTTTTTTATTAATTGAGTTTATTATTTTTCAATCTCAAAAGAGAAAAGGGTGAGGGTACAGAAGAAAAAAAAAGGGTAGGGTAAGGAGTTCAGGGTTACAATACAGAGGATCTGATACATCACAATGACATTCACATTTCATGTTAATCACCACCTATCTATGTACGCAGTTGTTTGGGTGTAAAGTAGTCGCTGCTCATCCCAAGTCAGAACGGGCACTACCTATACCCCGCTTTACAACCTCCAAGTGTATCTCGTCGATGAGGCCGTGTAGCTATCAGCCTCTTACGTGCATGCAGGGCTGTGCTCTGGTTATCTTGCGTCTATTTGTTATGCGATTTGCTTATATGTTGCAGACCCTAACTTTGTTGGGTGTTCAGGGGGGTTCAAGGAGGCTCAAGTTTTGGCCATCTTGTGTTTAGAATCTTACGGTCTATCTACTGGACGAGGCTCCTTGCATACACTGTTAATGCCTCCTATGTATCCCCAAATGTGTGGTACCCTGTGAGGTATAGCGCAAGTGTCAAGGCGTTGCTCAGCCTGAACCTCCCTGAACAAAAACAGTCTAACATGAGGGAAATATATACTTTAAAAAATAAAATAATAAGCACTAAATATAAAAACACAAACAACAGCAGAAATAACATTAATATGTAAAATATAATGAAATGCTGTTCCTCCAGAAGGCTACCTGTTGCATATGGCAGTAGAACAGCTGATAGAGCACTATGTTA